GAAATAGTCAAGGGCCAGATGCTGATTATTTATGTACTACAAAGCTTAACTATTATGCACACAAAATAGAAAATATTTTTGAGATGGCAAAAGGCACAGGATTTAGTTAATTATCAGTCACAAATCACCAAATACTGGATTAAATCCTCGAGTCACTTACTCAAATATTACTCAGACAAAACTCTTATTGGCCTGTTGAATTCAGGATTTGTCCCAGAGGGAAAAAAGTAAAAGCTGAATAAAGCTTCAGTATTTACTGCCACTGCCAAATTCTGGAAGGGAGAGGGGCATTTTATTTTGTTTTGCAAGGGACCTTCAAGTGGAGATCCTATGAAAGAACACACACTGCAGAATAAGATCTTGAAACTTATGTCAGGACAGTGACATAGGAGTGTTTAATCAGAATGGTGATAGCTATAATTTTGAGGTTGTAAAGCAAGGGTCAAACTATTCAAAAACAATTATCCAATAAATGTGTTGTGCAGCTCAAAGCCTGAGTTTTTACATCCATGAACATTCAACCATTGGATTCTCTCTTAGGCTGCCAATAAGTATGTCAAGTATTTCTACTTGTGGGGATCTTTTGTAAGATGTAGATACACATGCGCAGGGGGAACTTGACTAAAACCATGATATAGAAGGACCAAGACATGTCTTACAACATAATTAATTGTATAGTCTGGATGTATATGAACCTCTGGCTATGGAAGGCATGGGAATCTACCTTAAAATGCCAACACTACAGGAATCCAGCAAATTTAAACAGTTGTCATCAATATACTTTTACTGTGAACTTAATGACAAGTGGATTTTTCAGCCTTGAAGGAGTCTCCCTATGTATACATGAACTTTTCAAGTCTCATTTTTCTTTAGTTGAACTAAATTTTAGTGAAATTATATATATTTGATTTGGAAAAAAGGAATGTATATTGTTACCTGTGGTCCATATTTCATTATGCTGGCCAGACACAAATGCTGGGCATCAAGAAAAACAGCACACAGTACTTTCTTTGAAGCCTAATAAATAGAAAAATAGTTAGAATACATGAGTTGTAAACATCCTGCATATCCACAGGCAATTACTGTACATTTTGTCTGTCAGCATAGCTTTCTGTATTATTAAATAACTTTCTGAAAACCTAATTTACAGGAAAGCTTTCTGATGTGAAAGAGAGAAAAAAAATAGAATAAGACTTTGCTTGATTCAGCACCGATGTCTGCGGCTTTCAATATCCATTAATACTAGACAGGTGCTTTTCTCTTCCACACACATACAAGCTAACCACACAGCTAATACACACAAAGTCAAAATAATCACGGTACTACATTGTAGCCTATTGGGATATTAATTTGATCCCCAGTGTAACCCTCATTATAAAGCATACCATAATAAGTATGCCTCTGATAGGAAGCTACTGCACTTCAGTTCCCTTCTCATTTGAAGCTCAATATGAACAGCTTAACAACATCCATTGATCTACTGCATAGAATACAAATTACATAGGTCTCAAAACTAGTCCTACCGAGAGACATCATTGTCTGTCTAAGCTGGAAGGAAGACAGGAGGCCACAGATATGGTTAATTAGGCCACAGCGTTATTCACTTAAAATATCTGGATGTAAGAGGTAACAAACTGCACTAGACATAGGAGTCCCAAACCCTGTTCCATGAGGGATGATTTCTTCCAATCCTTTCCCAATCCATGTCATCTGATAACAATATCCCATGCCTACTGTGTACCTGCATTTGCACATCCCCCACAAGTTTTAAATACTTAGTTGTGACACTATTACCTAACCCTCATACTCTATCCCAGTGACAGGGAAGGTAAAAAACCCACCCTTCCTTGGCCATTCTGGGAAAAATTCCTTCCCAGCCCCCACAAGACTATGAGCGATTCAAAAGGAAACCTAGTACTTTTGCCAAATTAATTGTGTATTCTGCCAGCCCCAGGCCTCTCTGGGACTTCATGAATCAAAAACACCCCTCCTCCCGCCCCTTCTTACAGCAAGCAGGAAGGGCAAGAAATATTCTTACCTGACCCATAGTGACTCCTACAACTCCGGTCTATCCCCATAAGTTTTCCCTGTGCTCTACCTACAGTAACGGAGCCCTTAAAGGGGCAATGTTCCTTTTCTTCCAGCTAGACAAAGACCTACTCATGTGAAGGTTGTGTGCATGTTGTGCTTGTCTGTTCTGAGGAAATGATTCCATTAAGCAGATTTAACAATTATGAAGCAATTACCAGGATAAGTGACCAAGTGTATCATTTCACATTGATGTCTATCCAAGATTACTGAAGCATTTTCTTAGCATTCTTGCTGAGACACTCAAAAATAAATGCCCATGATAAACAAGATTGGGGCAGAGAAAGGGGTGATGACCTGCAACTATAAACAGGAAAATACAAGATAGATATTTGTTATAAAAAGAGTTTTAATGACACAGTTCCTAAAATAATTTATCAGGGGAAACTGTAAAGACATCAATATATGAGATAGCTATGAAAAAATTGGGAAAGATATTGCAGGGTTACTTCATTTGAGGGAAGAGCTTGATTTATTACATCAAGTAGTTTCTTTAATCCCTAAATCTGTGACTATACTAAATGAAATGGTCTGCCAAGAGAATGGATGGAAAACCTAAGTGCCCATAACTCCTTAGCCTGAGAAGCAGTGTATATGTATTATATATAAATACATTAAAAACACATACAGTAGATTCCAGTAAAATAAATAGTATAATGTAGTTTAGTAGAAGAGATTTTTTCTTCTTTTATTGTGGGTAGTCATTTTATGCATTCTCTTCTGTCCTGGATATGAAAAAGTAAATCCTATGTTACCCCAACTTAGGTAACCCTTAAGATAATTTTTTAAGCAGCAGGAAACTGGGCTATCTGGCTGAGTAGATAATGATATCAGCTGCTTCCTTCCAAAACAACAGGTGCTTTGGCATAAAAATATATATCATCATACTGAGATGATGACATCAGTTCATACTTCAGCTTAATTATAAACTACCTCCATTAATCCTCAAATAATTAAACACTTTGTGGATGCTGCAAGGTGAAACATAAAAGCAAAAGGTGCTTAGCTGTTCAAAACAGGTTACAATGCCAATGTTAGTTTTTAAATAATTTATACGTGTGCCCTCCAATTCAAATGCAAACTTCAACCTGATTTTAAACATCAGTTTCTATTTTATAGTATCCGTCATAAAGTTTCAATATTATTGAAATTCAATGAAAGCTTGATTTATGCATTGATATTAGTGTAAAGAAATCATTGGGAGTGTTTGTGTAAATTCAGGCTACTCACATGAGTATGACTGTGCAGGACCAGGTCCTATGTGTCTATACAATTGGGAAGAAAAGACTTGGTACAAAGAGTTAAAAGAGGAAGTCTGGTCTATCATGGAGATAGGATTATTGGAACTAGAAAATCAATATTTGGTGTTCGTAGATTGTATGTGGGAATATTCTTCATAGAGACAGACACATATATTGCACGTCTAAATAAAAGAAACTCTGTGAATGAGCTTACTCTGTCAACAAATGGGTGCTTCTTCTTTTTGCCAGATCAAATTATGAGAGCTCTCAACAGCAATATGTGTAATGGAGCAATACATTTAAATTTAACTATTTATTTTTGACAGATATTTCAGTGTGTACAAAATGCATCCAGCAAAGCCTGTGGATTTTTACTTCATATACTTCTTGACTGTTTGTGCACTCTGTATGTACAGCTTTGTTATGGCTTCAATATTGTACAACAGATGGCACATCTTTGAATTTGGTAAAAATCAACAGATTTGAATGAGAATTAGTCAAATTCCTAGGCTAAAAGAAAAGAGAAACATTCCAAAGAAAAGATTATGTTCATCCGTCTTTAACTTTTAAATATAGCAATGACCTTCTTTAAAACAGATGCTATCGCCATGAACCAGATGTGTCCCTAAGCAAATTAGTTATAAGAAATACATCCAAGGACATAGCCATTTAAGAATCAATAAATTATGCATTTGTCATTTGTTATTGTGTAAGGCTTATGCTGACATCTTTGACATGAATGAAAGTGTCTGTCCACAGTCATAGCATTAACAATTTAACAGAGGCGGTTTTATACAAAAAGGGAAGAGGTTTGAAGAATTTCTGTTTATCACCACATACATATACACAACTTAATTATTCATTGCATGTCCACTTAACAACCCATTCTCCTTTATGTAAGTAGTGCTAAATAAAAAGTTAGATCCTGGGCACATGTTAGATATAGCTGTCATTTCTATTCAGTGTAAAAAGAAAATAACAGAGTGGGTCTGACACAGATTTTTAGAGAGACAATCAATAATGCTTTGTTTATTGGTGGGCATTTTATGATAAATTCATAATAGAGGTTTTATTTTCTATAAGCAAAAAAACCATAGTGGAGTTTTTTAGTGGATTTAGTAGAAACATTTGGATGACCATATGGAATTCTTAGTGGAGTCATGGGACCATGCAGCTATGAAATCTGATCACTATCTCCCCAATGACAGCTGGAGCCTTTACACCATCAGAAAATTTTCAGACTTCTAATTTGTCATAACTACCTCCTGTGGAACTGAAATATGTTATGTAGTTAGACACGAGGCTCCCTTTCACTTTTCACTTTCATGCTTCAAATTAATTCTTTGACTGCATTTTGTGACTTCTTGATGTAAGAAATAAAATATATCTACAAACTCCTACAAAAAGTATGGGGTCTTGTAAAATCACAGCCATTCTGCCATGACATTTTAGGGAATCACTTACTTTGAAAACTATGCTTGGTTTAATGATTGTTGATCCGAATAGCTCAAAGTTTGAAAATATCTGAGACATATTCTTTAGCCTTTCTCCCAGTTTCCATGATGGCAACAAAAGGAGTAAATTTTCATGTCTGTTTTGAAATTGTAGTGTAACATTATAAATTTGCTAATTTATTTTATTTTAAATATGTGAATTCTTTCTCTATCATAGCAAGTATGGAAGGGTCGAGCGGTTTCAGAAACACTGGCGTGAGGGCAGGCTATGGGGAAGCAATGCAGAGGATTTTGTTATATCTCTCTGAACTCTGGAATCAAGCTCTATAAGACCACGAGAGGGGGTATGTGGTAAACCTTCATTTATATTATCGTTTCAAAATCAAAACTAAAGGTGGATGTTGATGTACTATTGGCTGGCAAATGCAGACAACTTATCATTGAGTAGAGCTGTCAAAACATTTATATGGAACAGTGATATATTGGAAAAAGTTGGGTTTTTTCTTTTGTAATTTTAATATTTCATGGGAACATGCCAATTTCAATGGCATTTTTGATGGAAAAGTTGCAAAGCAATTAATTGTGACTTTCTTATTTTATTTCAATGTTTTGTCTCTCTGTTTTTAATTTTTTTCAGCTAATTACAATTATACTAATGTTTTGACATTGTCAACATGAAACAGTTCAATGAAAAACATTTTATTCAGATAGTCAAAATAATATTAAAATAATTTGTCCTGATTCAGGGCTAATTTTTTTTAAATGTCAGCATTTCCATTGGAACTGAAGTGCCATTCTGACTAGCTGTGTTGAGAAGTTATACAATATTTGAGGCCTTAACATAAAAGCTTACTGAGGTCTCTTTGCAGGTTTGTTACTAAATCTGGGTAAACTTTCTGTTCACAGAGGATTTTGTGAAGTAGGAGAAGTGCCTCTGCTCACAAACATATGGAATTGTGAAGTAGGAGAAGTGCCTCTGCTCAAAAACAAATGAAAAAAAACCCTACTCAACTTCTGGTGTGACCTCAACAAGTACATGGGACCAAGAATTAAAACATATTGGAGATATAGTTCTCTCCTATAACATCAGACCAGGCCTTAGCAGCGTTAGCTTCCAGATAAACAGAACAAAAAAACTCACCATTCATCATTAAGATGCTGGACCAAAACTTATTGCAACAGTCTATGAGATGCTGGGAAGTACAGATCACAAACAACAATCTAGACTGATACAGTGTTGCAGTGGCCATACACAGAACTTTTATACTAGCAGACTACAGCCTGACTGAAAACTAAGATAGACTTTTACCAACTACACTATCAATTATTATGAACTAAAGTTGGAAACTGGAAGACACAAAGCATAATGCAAAAACAGAGATGAATGACTGTGCAACCCATGACAAAAAGAAATTGAAATATCAAAACTACAAGAGAGTGTTAGAAAGATATTTACTCACACAACCAGAAATGATAGAACACTCTCCATTAAGAAGCAATGAGGAAAAACTGTGCATAACCCTAGGAAAAAGGAAAGAGACGGCAGGAATAGCATCATGCTAAGCAGCAACCTGCCACCAAAACAGAAAAGGACAATAATGACAAATGGACACAAGGGATCAAATCCCAAACACACTGGGCAGATGCTTGATATATTGTGTCTAGCATTGACAGGTACCCAAGGTTTCTGCTTTTTTACATGTTGACAGCATTTGGTAGCTTGGTATGTCAACAAAATAGTTTGACTTGCATTCGCCCTCCCCTCCCCCCCACTTATGAACTTTGGAGGCAAACCAGAGCATGGAGGATGGTTATGAGATGCTCTCTGAATGAAATCTAGACTCTCCTTACCAAATAGCTATTCCCTGTCTTTGGGGCAGGCTTCTCTTTACCACTAGTATCACCTGCAAAAGCCCAGGAACTCTAAAATATTTCTCAGATGACACACAGACATCTTAGGCAAGAAGAGTGCATCACAGGGCTTCCTAGAGAAGATGGTAGACTTTTGGGTGGCAGGGGAGAACATGGCCAGTTAGCATGACTCTATCTACATGGCCATGAGAACAAACGTAACCAACATTTACTAAAATTTACAAATATGGGCTTGTTTAAATAGGTTTCACGTTTATATTGCAATTATAAGAAAATAATATAATATATAGCTTGTACTCCAAATCCAGGTTTTCTCTATCCCACGCTGTGCATAAAATAGTCTTATTCTTTGTTCTGGACCAATTTAACCCTTCATTCTGGCTTAGTGTTACCCCATGTTTGGTCATCTAAGACACAAGTGTCTGACTGACAACATTCCTATTTGTGTACCTGTGAGTTATCAATAACCAGCTGAGAGCTTTACAGGGTGAAATCAGGTGTCATTTATGTTTAATGGGATCTCTGATGGGTATTATAACGCTCTTGCTTGCACGACAATCATAGAACAGTATTGTGGACAGCATGAAGTATATAAGTCTTGCCACATAAATCCATCGGTGCTTCTCAGTCCTGAACAGTGTTCTCCCTAATATTCTATCCCCTGGTTATTTCTGGATAGAGATAGATAATATTGACAAAATTCTCCAAATTATGTGTTGATATCTAGCTGTGGACAAATATCAAGTAGGAGCTAGATTGAAACCATTTATTTCCTCCCCCCCCCCACACACAATTTTGTACAGTCTTTCATATGGTGCACATTTATAACATTTATCTTTTTATTTCCTTTTCATATTTTAATTTCTATTCACTCATGTTTGTGTCCATTGGACCAGATTCTATGGTGCTCTATCTTGGCATCACTCCAAAGAAGTCAGCTGAGCTATTTTGATTTATATCAACTGGGAATCTGTCTCTTTCCACTTTTCCCTGATCTGGCTTTTGGGAACATGAAAACCACAGTCCAAGGAGGCTCTTCTTTGGAGTGCTCCAGCTGCATAGTAAACCACACTTTAAAACAGGACTCCAGAACCTGCATACTGCTCAAGTTAGAAGGGGAATGGAATCGTTGAGGAACAGTAGTGTCTCTATGGTGTTGTGCCTGTTTTAAAAAAATATTTGGCCAGATTCTAAATGGAGGTAGACTGACATAGTTCTGTTGATTTCAACATAACGATGCCAATTTACAGGAGCTGTGATTATGTCTCATAATGTCCTCCTCCTTTTAAAACAAATATTTTTGCCATTGCCCAGCCTTACTGGACAAAATGAATCGGTCTCTCTTTCAACACCTATAACAAATGGTCGAAAGGGGACACTTTCAAAGAGTATGGGCATTCCACATCAAGTTTTCAACATGTGGCAATAACATAAGAAGTTGTGAATATGGAATTATTGGCCTTTTTGTTTGAAGCTGAGCAAGGTTTTTCTGGATAAAAATTAAAATCCAAGAGCCTATCCTGTTCCCCCTGTAGTGAATGATAAAATTCCTAAGGCCTTCAGTGGCAACAGAGTCAGTAACTTTTGTATTATTATTAAATTAGTGATGTGTTAACTAAAGACAGATTTTAGCTCCTTATTACAATTAACAGTTCTTAGAATTTGCTTAAAGGAAGGGGTGGAGTGGGAATCAGTAACTTTTGATGCAGCAAGGTAGCTTTTGTAGTGCCTTAACCCTAGGGCTACGTCTACACTGGCCGCCTATTACAAAATAGGCATGCTAATGTAGAACTTTGGAAAAGGCAAATGCGCGGGGGATTTAAATATCCCCCGCGGCATTTGCATTTTCATGGCCGACGCTTTTTTCCGGCTTGGAGATAAGCCGGAGAAAAGCGTCCAGACTGGCGCGATCCTCCGGAATAAAGCCCTTGCAAGTAGAAGCTGGTGCTTGCAAGTAGGAATAAGAGATCCTCCAGAATAGGGCTTTATTCCGGAGGATCGCGCCAGTCTGGACGCTTTTCTCCGGCTTATCTCCAAGCCGGAAAAAAGCGTCGGCCATGAAAATGCAAATGCCGCGGGAGATATTTAAATCCCCCGCACATTTGCCTTTTCCAAAGTTCTACATTAGCATGCCTATTTCGTAATAGGCTGCCAGTGTAGACGTAGCCTAGGTGTTTATGCTATGGATTAATTTTTTGTATAGCTTCATCCCTTTGTATCTCTTTTCTGTATATTTGTTGCCTGTGGCAGAGGTCACAGGAACCTAATTTCTATTGCATAGTTTTGGGCTGAGATCTACATGTATTTAAACTTTTTTACTAGATTATTTGAGTCCACTGCAGTTTAATTTGTGTTAAGTGGCACTTTCTTCCTTGCTATAAGAGATAACAAGCATATACTTGGCACGTCTGGGTTCTAAATGGGACTTTCAACATTCTGCTTCTGTCACATTTACCTTCCAGAGGCTCTGTGAAGTTCTCTATTGTATTGGAATTAGAGTTCATCCTCAAATTCAATTCACATGCTAATGGACTCAATCATGATGAAAGTTGGTTGGGATACTACCAGTTTAACAGTGATGTAGACTCCTAAGTCAGGAAGGATACTATCAATTGACTTTGATTCTTATCTGCTTCGTTTTAACAACCAAATCTTCAGATACTTACTGATTCCCTCTAACTCCCTGTCTCCCACCCCCTTCTCTTTTTTTCTCCTCCCTCCTCCCCTTTCCTTTCCCCTCTCCTATTTATTTTGGGTCTGCACGTCCTAAACTCATAACTCCGGGCATCTGAAGAAGTGGGCTATGCCCACAAAAGCTCATGATACCATCTACATGTTTTGTTAGTCTACAAAGTGCTACCAGAGCATTTGTTATTTTTTCTGAAACAGACTAACTTGGCTACCCCCTGAAGCTTCTATTGCACTAGTTTATCAAAAGACAATATCCATTTAGTTAATTGTAGTTGCTGGCCACCGCTAGGGCATACTTCAACCATAATTAACTTTATTCAAACAAATGTGTACTAACGTTGCTTGATATGAAGTTGACCTGTAGCTTCTAGGCAACTGTGTTTCACCAGACAGCCCTCACAGGTAGTTTATCTAGATCAGTGGTCCCCAAGGTGGTGCCCGCGGGTGCAATGGCGCCCGGCGCAATGGCACCCTCCGGGGCATTTATGTGTGCCCACCTAGTGACCAGGACCAGCCCGAGCCATTCTTGTGGTCCCAGACACCCGGCAGCCCCAAAAGGTTGGGGACCACTGATCTAGATTGTCAGAGAATTTGAGGGATTATGAGATACAAGGTGGGACTTGGAGATACATGAGGTTTCACATGAAAGTTTTGAGTTTTCCTACCTTCTGGGTAAGGTCTGTAAAGCCTTTTAGTCTGGACACCACATAGTTTTGCATCCTGGAAAAGAATTTGCAAAAGGCACCTCTTCAGCTATGACCACTAAACCAAAACCTTGAAAGCAAATCTAAACATTCGCCTCCTTATACAGCTCTACTAAAACATGATTAATTACGCTCAACAGAAATGTATTTTTTTAATCAGGTCTAGTTCTCTAAGATAGGGTTTTTCTTTTTTTCTCACCAGATTTTGCTAACTTGCACAAGCCAAAATAATCTCAAGCAGTGGAAGATTCAAAAAATAAAAAATATCAAATATTCAAATGTTACACATTTCAATGGTGCTGTACTATTTTCTATTTCTGTATTATTAAAAAAAGTCTTTGTTAATTAATGAAAATATTCAAATATCTATAGTGGTGAATTTTTAAATGTTTTAAATCTGTTGGATTGTTACTAGCCCCTGCATCTCTTTTTCCTCACAAGCGTCTCAGTTTTCATCTGCTGTCTGAATTTGTTTTTTCCCCATTTTTCTCTCTTCCTAATTTGCTGACTCAAATGTACTTATTTCTCTGCTTTTTTTGCTCATATCCTGTGACATTTTGTCACTTCTTGCCCTGATTTCTTCCATGGGAGCATGAGAAAATAGTTTCTAATGAAACTTCTAAATATGTCTTTCATTTATTCAGCTGGTGGGAGAGGGAGAAGAAAGAATATAGTTCAGAAGAATAG